TGGCACGTGCAGGATGCGCTTGAGTGACCAAACTCGTCCTTAGGAAGGACGAACTAAAGGAATTCCACACTCGTATCGATATTACACGATGATAAACACGTGTCAAGCAGGGGGGTAACAGCACGTGCTCCCCATAAGACAAGAGGCCCTTACTTCATTCTACACATAGAAATGATTGCTCTAAATTACACGCTAATTAAAGACTCATAATTTACATTTGTCTAGGTAAGTCAAACAATGACTTGTAAACTTTCTCTCGTTCATACATTTACAATAGCGTCTAGGCAGCCAACCGCGAACCATGAATTATAAATAAACCACCATTGTTCATGGCATGATTTAGTCGCATTTTTAATTTTGCTAGGAAACAAAAAGAGTTTTAATTACGTGAGAAGTAACGAAGGGCCATTAACCCTGCCAGCTAATTAGTACACAGGAACGCTGATAATTAGCCGGTAAACTAGCGAGGTTTTAGATAAGTAATAAAATTTATCTGAGAGGCGATGTTACTAGGAAGGCTCATGTGGAAATTACTTTACAACTAAGTAAAATAAACAATTATTAGACGCAGTAACTATACGAATTTGCTGCAACGCCAGGATATTAAGTCATCTCTAAATTTTTGCTAGTTTTAGACAAAACGGATATGGCCTAATAAATCTAAAGTGATTACAGTCTAGACTAAAACCTGTGTAACTATGGTATAATGGTATCTCTTTCGTTTATTAGCACATTCAATAGGTGCGAGTTAGACAGCGAAGATTTTATCGTTTCCATAGGTATTCTAACAGTGCAGACTTAATTGAATTGCAAAAGCTTTGCCTTATTATCAGCACTGCGCTAAACCAATTGGACGGAGTTTTTAAGTCTCTAAAATTTTTCTCTCGTGTCTTTAGAAGAATGGTTTGCTCCAGTGATGTTCAAAATCAGTCCAGAAAATTACAAAATGGCACCGTTAGGCCCAGTTTCAATTACTTCTGGTCGGAAGAAAATAACAAAATAAAACGTCTGTGTCAGTTCAGACAACCTATCATTATGGTAAGATATGAAATTTTGACCGAATCATTGTCATTACAGTCTATTAGGCGGTAGCCAACAAAAAGACAATAAGTTTAAGGTATTGACTTTTGATTGGTACAGCACTTAATAGCTATTTTTTGTTGATCTGAACATTTATTATTAGTACACTTAAGACTTGAGAAGCAAAAATTAGTGTTGCGAAAGAAAACTACAGACGATGCTACCTACTTTTTGTTACTTACCGAAAACAAGAAGACAATAGGTACTTAAGTCATTGTTGTAACCGAATAGCTAAACGTTAAATTCTTGAAGATGCATAGACAAGCGTCTTGTACAATACCGTACATACCAAACGTACTTAATTAGCTAAGGTAATTACGATCACCAGCGTTCCTGATTCTACTAATACGGAAGAAAATTACTTAACGACTATCATAAATTGTCATGGAAGCACTCGTAATCTACTCACTAAATTGCACGTTAGAATCTCCGTTGTGTAATAAGGGAACCTTTTTCCACGAAGCTAAATGAAAATGTAATTTTGTAGAATTATCTTAGAGTGGCACTCCGTCTAGATAGAATTTAAATGAAATCTGCAAGTCAACGGCAAAAAATTGCATATTTTATGCCATTTTGTCGTGGTTTCCTATTACGTTTTCAAATTACAACTCTCTTTGATCCGACAAGTGCTTCTGTCAGACATAAACACACTGTAAAAACTTGATAACTTGCGGTAAAGCATCAATATTTTAACCAACAGTGAGAATTGTTTAGGCCAATTTGGCGTATCGTGTAACCGCAAACATTTCATAACTTTATTATCTCATAATTTGCTACGAAATGTGTTCCTTGTAAAAAGGTAACATTGGAATAAATTGTGGACAATATGATGTCACTTAGTAATTATTTATAACATTAGGATTTGTGCTTGATATAGACGGGCTGCCATGCGGTCGTAACCTTATATGTCTGTCGGTGTAGTGTTCCAACCACCCACACTTGTACCGTATTCCGTAAGCCATATGCCTTTCCAAGTCGTGATCTAGGTCCCTATTAAAATACAGCCAGGATGGGAAGAAGCCAAACAGTTTGTATTTTTGTATAAATTGGGGCTTATTTCAATAAGCTGGTCTCTTCGGTGGTTTCAGTCCATGACTCGTCTGTTTTTTCGGAATTTTCAGAATGACAAAATTCAACAAATAACGAAAGGGATTGATAGAACCCTTAGTACCTAGTAAAATCTACCAAAATATCGATCTAGTACCGTCTCGTAGTCTGAAAACAACCTTCTACTGAAACCATGCTTTGCATGTGTAATACTCGCGAAGACGTAACCTTGAGAAACCTGCGAGGTTTGTTCACATCACCGATCCCTGAAGCGTGACCAAATTGAGCTACGATGAGTTTTTTGCCTAGACTAAAAGTAATAGGCATTGTTATTACTGGCTAGATGTAAGAAGACAGCCATAGTTAATCAAAATTATTACGTTACGTTATTCAGTTTGGTACTACTGGGAACTGGATTTCGATTAAACATTAACAAATAAAAATATTTATTGCTTATTGTTGAGTACCGTCAATAACCATTTTTGTATGGTGAGTACCGGAAAGTAGCCGCTAAATTGCGATGTCGCAGTATCAAACGCACCGTCGATGAGTAATCGCAGTGGCAAAATTGATGAAGTGTTTGTTTGAAAAAATTAGACGAGGTGGTGAGGGTGAGGGGTGAGGAAAATATATTTTCTACAATTTGTATTGCAGTTCTTTACTTGACTATTCACTCGTGCTAAATGCACCATTAGACTAGACAAATCACGTCAATTAATTATCTATAAATTTTAATTTATGTAAATCATGAACACACCTACCTACATCTTTTTATTTTGAAGCTAGAAAAAAATATAGAATTTGACAATAAGTACCTAACATCGCGTAAGTAGGTATTTTAATAAGGTCAGTGACCCACTCAGTGCAGTTTTTACATCATTGTCAAAATTTTGCTAGAAAATCCGCATTTCTTATTTATTTGTATCAAAAACTAATTAAGTGGTATCAAAAGCTAATAAATAATTTATTAAATCCGGCTCAGATTATAGTAAGATAAGAACACATGTACCCATAAATAAAAATTATATTTAGAAGTATACTTAGGCAAGGATTTAAAATAAAAATATGTTTAATTAAGTTAAAAATGAATTAAAATGATTAATCAGAAATTTATGTAAACAAAACGGAATAAAAGCTTGTAAAAAAGAAAATAAATAGAAAAAAATAATAAAATCTAAATTACATTATTGCGATTCACACTCCTTCAAAACCATTTAAACTGTCAGACACCAAGCGGTCACCGGTGACCGCAACCTATTGTTCTATAATTGTGTCTACAAAACCGGTACTCGACGAGTTAAGAAGAAAAATTCTTTAAAATATGGATACAATACAATAGTTAATTGATGTTTTAAAAAAAATTATTGCATAGCTAATACCCAGTTTAGTCTCTTGTAGCAACCAATATTATGGTAGGTACTATTAAGCATAAAGTATCATGGCTATACCTAACCTAAACAAAAATACACAATGGACCATCCTCATTATTATTTTTGTTTCTTATCAGTGCTCATTAAACTCCATTATCCCGTATCAAAGACCAAAATTATTTTACATTGTCAACCATTGTTGTGTATTAAAAAGGATATAATATTATTTTGTTTCGCATTGTCCTGACTAAGCTTTCTATCATGAATAAAATCTAATTTTTTTAAGTAAATATTTAACTTATGGCCACAGAACTTTAATATATCTGTGTTTATGGCAATACAAAAAGGTTATTAAATAATATTACCGCATACAGATGCTAGTCATTGTATTCTTATAAAGTTTACTGGTCAAGATCTAAGCGGACACCAGTAATCTCCCTGCACTTACACCATTATAGACCTTATTTCCGATGTTGAAGATTCTTCTGTTTGTATGAACAAATGTTGTGGATTATTCATAATCAGACATTAAGTGAAAATGTCAAAAGTACCATAGCTACCATAACGAAAATTTACAAAGTCAGAACTGGCATTCAGGTCACATGTAAAATTTTCATGACTCAGCAAAAATATTATATTATTAACGTAACTCTTTAGTTGCTACCTGTCACGAAATTGTGGAGATTTACATTTACATTCCTATATGAAAGAACTAATTTTAATGATATTTTAATAGAAGAAACCGGCCAAGTGGCTATCGGACTTGTGCATAGAGGGTTCCCATACCATTTCTTCATTAATGCAATAATAGCATTAAAAAAACTTTGTTGTATGGGAGCACCTCTTAAATATTCATTTTATTTTCAGTAAGGTAAAATATATTACAATTGTACTTAACCAAAATTAAATTTACAATTCTAAACATAAAAAGTTTTTTTTAAGTTTCAAATAGATGCCATTAAAAAACAAGCTTATTTTCCTGATTTCTAAAATTACAGAGAAATATTAATTTACCCACATTAATAAAATCAGTCTGTGCAGGAAAATGAATATCACAACTGTTGCAAATGTTTCAAACCATTATTCAGCAAAAATTTTAATTAGTTAGATGAAAATTGAATCAATCAATAGTTAATAGAATAGGTCGATGTGAAGCCAATGTGTGAGATGTTCTGAATTCAAATATCTAATAACAAAATGTATTGAAAACAATAACAAATAATAATTTTTCCAATCACAGGAAATCAATAAAGTGTTGCAGCATTCAAGATAACAATATTAAAGTTCTTCATATTATTATTATTTACTTAACATCTTATCTTGTTGTCCTAAATGATTACTACTTCTTGTGTAATTAACTAATTTTAAATATGGAATCCAATAACAAACTCTTGTAACCTTCACCTTAGACATGTTCCCAATATGAATTTGTGCTCGCTTGATTTAATAATCTATTGTTACTCAATGTACTACTGGTCTACAGACTTTAAATCTATTATTTACCTTGGAATGCCGTCTGCCAGTTGTTCCCAGCTCGACAAGGTGTAAATCTGTCTCCATTTGTGTGTTCTGCTGGGAATCTTATGCATTGTTTCTTGCTCAAGGGGCTGCATTGCTGCAGCAGCCTTGTCTCATAGTGCTTGCTGAACATTTTTCACGTTAATAGTCCGAGTCTATCACACAACAACTGAACAATCCTTGGGTAGTCTATAAACACAAAACTTGAGGGTATATGGAAGAATGAAGACTAGAATATTTTATGAGACAAAAGTGTTCTCAATCGAACATCGTCTATCGATATGTCCTGACCACAATGTTTACTTCAATGTCCGGAGTCAAAACAAACAACATCGGACGCAGGAGCGCTCTCACCGACTGCTCTGAACCATTTGACTACATTCGACATGCTCCAAAGCGCAACTGAACACATCGTCCACCGTATTGAAAGATAACGCACATAACGATTTAGTCCCACAAAATGTTGTGTGATGATGTTGTATACTTCAGACAAGCACAATTTACGGATTTTGGTTGATATTTTACGTTGTAAATTGAAACAATTCCTTTAAAATATGATAAAATATTTCTTTCGCGGACTATGTCACACAGCATAAATAAAAAAAGTGTTGCAAGACTAAAATAAATAATCTTTGAATGCAACGGTTCTTTGAAATGTCTTTTAATCGCTAAATTCCAGTAGAAACAATGGCGCTAGTGTTTTAATATCTATCCATTATTATCACATTATCACTTTCGTTTGACAAATTCGAATCAATACCAATTTATCAATTGAAGTAAAAATATAATTATTTATATCCAATATAAAATTTATAATACTACTTAAATAATATCAATATTTTGTAAAATTCTACATATTTTTTGAAAATTAGATTGAATTAGTTTTTCAAGCAAGCCAAGTACAACTTGTACTGGCCTGGTTTCTAAGGTCTATTGTAACCAGCCCCAGGTAACAAAGTCGTTGTTTCATAAGAATAAGTCGGTCTTTTTCAACGTCCGTTACTTACTACCAATTAATTCTTCGGTAAAGTGGTTAATAAATCAGTGGTTAATAAATTAAATCTTTTTATCACAAGATCGTGATGAAGAAACTACCTGGTGCACTTAGTGTTTATCATCATCATTTTATTCCGTCGTCTTCCACTGGTACTGGCTGGCAGCAGTAGAGCAGTGGCCAGAGAACCGTGAACTGCTGCTTGTTGTATGCCTCTCAAAAAGTAATATTTTAATTTCTTTATTGGTATAACTATGTCCTTTATTAACATAAAATGTTCATTTGATTAATTTTATTATTGTAAAATGTCAGTTGGTGATCGATTTTTCGTTTGTCTAAGGATTTTTCTCTATTATTTCAATGTTTTTTTTCCAGGTTTTTATTTTCCATTGACATTGACATAACCGTTCTGTCAAGTAAAGTGTCGCTGTTGCGTCGTTGTCAATATTTTCATTGAGGTAAAGTAAATAATTGAGGTAACGTTTTGAGACGATAGGTAACTATTTATTGATAACTTGATGAGTTCCGTTGTATTTTTACTAATACTTTTCCAATTACAGTTAAATTAATCATTCTATTCGTTTCCAGGTATGAGTACCAGCAAACAAAGGCGAAATGAGGACGGCGGATCAGAGGATTCACCGCCGTACTCCAGGTTATTTATTGTTTGCGAACGGCGCTTAACAGAGGAAGATTTCAGGGAAGCTTTCTCTAAATTTGGGTCAATCGAGGACATACGAATACCACTCAATCATGCAACAGGGGAGTCGAAAGGAGTCGTGTACATAAAGTTTTCTAAAACTAGTGAAGCGGCGCATGCTTTGGAAGCAATGCATAAAAAAACGATTAAAGGCTATGGTCGCTCATTAAAGGTGATGGTAGCTTCTAGTCGGTCCGATATCCACACGGAAGACAACAATGAGAACAAATATAAAAGGCTATTCATAGCGGTACCACCGATAATCACTGAAAAAGAAATAGAGGATACATTCAGTCAGTATGGTAATGTAGTGTCTGTCGTCATTCAAAGAGATCGTGCAACTGGTAATCCTAAAGGTTTTGCTTATGTGTCATATAGCAAATTCTCTGAAGCAGCCACTGCTTTTGAAGAGTGTGACAGGAAATATCGTGCTATATTTGCTATGCCTAAAGAGAACTATGTAAGACGTACTGAATCTCTTTTTGATTCAAATATAAATGAGTTAATAAACATCCCTTCATCTAGCAATGCTGCTCTTGTGTCCATGATGAATACTCCTGCTAAGGGTTATACCAGGGTAAACTTCATGTGTTGTCCAAATTTAACTAGAATAAATCTTGAAAACTTATTTGACCTTATTCCAGGTCTTGTAGATTTGCAATATTTTGTTGACATACAACGTCGTTGCGGCAGAGGCCTTGCTTCTTATTCTAATCCGGTCTCTGCAGCATATGCAGTTGATAAGTTGAATGAATTTGAGTATCCACCTGGTTTGAAAATATTTGTAAAGCCCGAGATATCTAGGTTTGATGTGCATAATCATAATTTTAATAAATTGTCAAATGCTGCATATAATTTGAAGAAAGCTATTCATTCTGCTCAGTCCCCCAATCCTGACTTGGCTCAGTTAACTGAAGCTATCGGTGAAGCTTCCAGGCTGCTTAAGATGGCCACGACAGGAGTTACAGATGATGTTGCCTATGACATGAATGACTTGAGCTACTGTAGTGTGAAGTTGCCTCCTCCGCAGCCACTAGCTGACATTGACAGTGCTGTTGCTAAAAGATGTTTCTTAGTGTGCCAGCCTCAGCCTCCACCTTTGACAGTTTTGCGTGACATATTCTGTAGGTTTGGAAACCTTATTAATGTTTATACATTACCCAATAAGACTGTTGGTTATGCTCGGTATGCAAATTCAAACTCTGCAGAGAATGCAATACATGTGTTACACGGAGCAGAAGTTTGTGGTGTCCGAATAAAAGTTTTAGAAGCAGACGATGAAAAAGGTCCTAGAAAAAGGAGAATGATAGAACAATCTGAACAATGAACAAAATGACTGACAGACAGTGGACAATGCTTCTCACAATAAAGGACAACTTACTACTGACTAGAATAATAATAATTATATGACAATGTAGCTTTGACATAATAAATGAACTGTGAATTCAAAAACTAAGAATTAATTTCAATCTTGAGCAGAGATTTATAAAAACGTCTTTGCCAGAGATCCTTTCTATGAATTTTACCCAATTGGCTAATTACTTATTAACTCGTCGAGTACCGGTTTTGTAGACACAATTATAGAACAATAGGTTGCGGTCACCGGTGACCGCTTGGTGTTTGACAGTTTAAAGTACAAAATTTTATAAAAACTACAATTGTGACTTGATTTCTTTATTAAAAAAAGCATCTAAATATGACAACTTAACCCAATTTATTGCACACACAGCCTTGTGACTTATAAAATAATTGACAATTATCAATATGTAAGGTCACTTTACTATTCAATCTGACAATATTAACTAATTTTGTACTGGAAACAGAAGATTATACACTTTGACAATCATTCCCATCATCGTGACCACATAATTATGCTAAAGTGAAGATCAAACAGTTAGCCCACAACATAACAATCATTTATACATATTTAGAACAAGACAATAGTAAATATTTAAAAAAGGTAGGTACATATCATACTTTTGTATATTTTTCTTCCCTGCAATTGTTATTTCTGTCGGAAGCTTTTGCATACTGGGTTTCCAGGTCTTGTTTCCTTACACCTATTAAATGAGACTAATCTTAGTGGCAAAAGTTGGTTATAACTTATTGCATATTGCAACCCTTTTAGCTAGTTAATATAGATTAAATTCAAATATAAAGACTTATGGCATGGTATACGTTGTTCATATTGCTTTGTTTTGTTTACATCTAAATAGTTTCAAAAAGAGATTTTTTCATTTTAAGAAGGAACCATCACATGACTGGACAAGACATTCATAAATTTAGTTATCAAGTAGTACTTAATTGTCTTTATTTAGTTAACTATTAATAAATACTACTATATAACAATTCTCTAATGTCCTATGTGATGCCTAATGAGTACCTAATGCGCAAAAAATACCGGTTTTTTTGCGCAACACACGGCGCTAGTGTGCACCTCTGGTTCTTCGTCCAATAGGGAATTAGGTTGTGTTACACCATTGGACTTTCAATATTCGACAGCTGCTGTTATTGGACAAAAATACACCTTCCTACATTTGCGCCAACAAAAAAACACTCCCCCATTTAGGGTAAAACAAATTCAAAGAAGAATGTACTTATAAGTGGACAAAATTCATTAAAATTTCTCTTAGAACATTGCTTAATAGTTATTATCTTTCACAATCATCACATTAAATACTAAAATGACCTAGATAGGCACTGCACCATAATCTCAAGACTCCATTATTGCTTGTTGTAGTAAAGGCAGTAATTGTTCTTTGTAAAGAGGATGTCTATCGCCATGTGTCATTTTTATTATTTTTTCAGCACATTTCAACTGGGCTAACGCTTTCTCAATGTCCATTTTGAACAGGAGTATCTTGCCGTACTTCAGGTGTAACAGGCCAAGCAGTGGGTTTCTGTCGCCGTAGTAGAATCTGTAAAAAGAAAACAAATAATTTGTTACCGTTTTTCAAATGGTAAGTGAAAAGTAACAGGAATTGTAAATAGGTACTATGAAAAAGTGACTGTCAGTGGCAGTTTTGTAAAAAGAAATAAAACCTTGTGTATTATTTTTTCTTTGAATATTCATAACATACACTAATAAACTACACACACATACACCTAATTCAAGGGATGATGACGGTATAAAAATTAAAAAACTAATTAGTCAGTTAGATAGATAGTGAAAAAATATAGACACGTATTTTTTTCTTCTGTCGTATAAGAAAAGAATACTTAAATGAAACGAATCAAAGTTTAGGAGTGGGAGGTAGCTACGTCATTTTAGAGTATAAAATGTACATAGAAGTGACGTCACGCAACATTTCAAATCAATATATCGTCGAAAGTATTCGTTTATATAAGAAAATAAAAAATACGTGTCTAATGTTTTTAAATAATCTACTAGACGGACATTAAATAAAAATTAGTCGTCTACCCTATTACGTGGGACACATTACAAAACTGGTAAAAAATGGCTGTTGCATTAGAAATGTGCAGTTGCATACTTCTGGTTTGGCTTTATGATTTCTGCCATTATAAGCTTACCTAAAGCAGGGAATGAGTTTCTCAGCGTACACGCAAGCTTTCTCCCACAGCTGCACCTGTATGAGCGCGTCGAAGGCATGGTCCAGGGTCTGAGCGTGCATTACGTTGAGTGGGTGTAGCACACCCTCCTGTCTATCTAGGCAGTACTGACATACATCGACATCTGGGGTGGGGTTTAGGAATTTATTGATTTAGTGCAACAATTGACAAACGCATATTACGCATAAGTAGTTATCTCATTAGGGATCATCCATTAATTACGTCACATGAATGTCATGATTTTTGTGCCCCTCCCCCGTCCTGGTCACAGCCGTGTGATGGTCCATAGTGTGACGTCAAATTTTGCAGAATGACAATTGTTATTTTTATTTCCACTTAAATGACTTTAAAAAAATATTAATGTCAAAAAAACATTAATACAATTATGTTTCGAATTTTAACACAGATTATAACACTTTTTGAAATGTGACATCACATAGTTTTGGATCCCTCCCTCCCCTTGTCACACAATGTCGCACTTCATCTACCCCCTCCGTCCCCCCTAAGTTGTGACGTAATTTATGGATGGTCCTTTAAGAGACAGAACAAACCTTGTCGTGTGGAAATAAATCTCACGACACGTTGCGCAACCATTGCGCTAAACATGCAGACATTCTAGCTACAACATTGATAGTAAAACAGAAAGAGCTTTAGAACTTTAGCAAAATTGTTCAAGGTTCATCGTCAATATGACGCAATCATTTGTAAAGATCGATATTGCATCTTCAAGTAATTTTATCTACATCTCATAATATTATAAAAAGGATACAAGCCACGGACGCTCTCTCCATATTCTGTAAATGCACATGTGTGAACTCCATGGTCTTCACGAAGACATCAACATGTTTCTCAGTATACTTCGTCCCGCATTCCTTACAATGCAAAGCATCTTTTTCATCCACACCATTTTCTTCTATTTCAACCAAATCTGTGGAATTTTCTTCTAGCTTCTCCAATCTACTATTTGACGGTTCACTGACCTCGGTCTTTTCCGGTCTTCTGACGAGTAGACAGTCTTCTTTCCAAGGTATTGAGACAGGTTCATTGCATTGCTTGTTTAAACAAATAGCGCCATGCACGTGTTTAATTTGATTTTCATCTGCAATATGTTTTTGAATAAATATTGTATTGAAATTAAAAAGAGATTGTAGCATGCTTCGCGATGCAGAAGAGAAGAAAAGAACCTAATACTTTTCAAAATAAAAAGGTCTATGAGGGCAAAATCATAAATAATGGTGGGTTTTGTTAACACAAATCTGGGATTTGTGAAAATATTACTTGTTTTTGAGTAAGCAACGAAGCTAAGACTATAAACAGCATAGAAGGTTGCTGTATGCTAATATCGATGGGAGTCACCAGGGTTGCGAATTTTTATTAAAGAAACAGATATGTCTTCAATACATGTGACAATTTACAGACAGTTGACAGACTACAAACGATCACTTACGTATCACTACTTATGACTGCAGTCTTATCAATGTATTTGGCACCGAACTGCATTATAAAATTAAATAATAATATCATTGTAAAAAACCTAAAGACCAAATTCTTCCGTTAATCATACCAAGTTTGGAACACAAAAAGGTTCGTTTACGGTATTCATAACTATATACAGGTCAAATTACACACTAAAACCTCTATAGATAGATATAGCATAGAGTCTATGCTACCATGGTAACTTCCACCTCTTAAATAGGGGAGAAAAGAGAGCATGCTAGAGTATAAATTAGTAGGCACATCTAAAGCATTTACCAATGCACCTGTCACACTGGCATAAGAAGTAGTAGTTCTGCAGCAGCTCCGACTGTCTGTCGTAGGGGGTCTTCATAAGGTCTATGTACGATATTCGCATCTGAAAATAGAGAATAGAAGATTATGTAGTGCACTATTCTATTCACGTTAACCGCCACGTAGGTCACCGGTGACCTACGTTAGCGGAGGATTTGCCCTCAACAGTTTTCTGTCGGCAATCAAAGGCTTAACTGCTTGAATCTATATGAGACACAATCGCGTGGATCTACGTTCGGGCATACCACGGCATAATCTTCGCGTATTCCTTATCCAAAGTTATGTTTTAATTTTTTATTCTCACTTATTAGATGTGATCTTCTCTTCATTCATTCTTCATTTTTTATTCTCACTATGAGATGGGGGAGGGGGGCAAAGGGCAGACTATACGCTTGATGGTTAGTACATGCCCATGAACAAACGTGGTATCATGGTATCGTGTATTGTCAGTAACGATACTCACAAGACGAAACAATGTAAGTCTTATCACAAACTCGTTTTTTCTCATTCTCTTGCTCACATAATCCATTCGTCATAACTTTATTTCATAAAATAACATCACATTACGCCTTTTATCCTCGAAGGGATAAGCAGAAGTGCACATTATGCCACTGTACAATGTAACACCCACTTTTCACTATTTATGTTATGAGTCCCATGTAATAGGGGGTGAGTCTATTGCCATATACCGGGCACGATTCGAGACTCCGTGCGACTACTGAGATTATTTTAAAACCCAGTAATAATTTGCCCAACCCGGGAATCCAACCCGAGCCCCCTTGCCCACCAATTTGCCCACTGCTTGCCCGGCAGTCGCACTTGCGACCACTCGGCCAAAGAGGCAGCACTTTATATTATATAACATTTAATTCATCACTAGTTTCGACTGCCTCGTTGGCCGAGTGGTCGCAAGTGCGACTGCCGGTCAAGGGGTCTCGGGTTCGATTCCCGGGTCGGGCAAAGTATTACTGGGTTTTATAAATCCTCAGTAGTAGCAAGAAGTCTGGAATTGTGCCCGGTATATGGCAATAGGCTCACCCCCTATTACATGGGACTGATAACATAAATAGTGAAAAGTGGGTGTTACATTGTACAGTGGCATAATGTACACCTCTGCCTACCCCTTCGGGGATAAAAGGCGTGATGTTATGTTATGTTAAAAATGTATTACCTGATTCCAATCCAAGCAAGGCATGTCCTTAATAGCTCTGATATTGATAGTCTTGCCGTCAAAGATGGCCACTGCATTCGGATCGCAGCTGTGATCCAGGATAGACGAGGCCAAGTAAATACCGGTACCAATGGAGTTCATATCGATGTCCAGAATCATAAAGCTGTTGATTACCATCTGAAAAATTAAGTATCTTTCAAATACCTTTAAAATTAATTTGACAGATGTTGGTTTTGTTTAAAGTATCAGATCCTGTCTCGAATGCAGCTATTTTACTTTACAAAATAGTATATAAGTCGGAATAGCGTTTAATTCCTGTATTAGTTTATGATGGGGCTGGCGTGGCGTCGTATTGTGACCAAAAGCCCCTAAATTTATAGCAGATATTAAAAAAGTATCTTTCAAAAAATCTTTGGAAGAGTGGGTGATCATACCTGCTATTGCCGAGTATATAGTCCCGATTTCAATTTGTTAAATGTTGAAAATTCTGGGATAATAGAATTAGTTAGAATTAGTGCCCATCTAACTACCACTTCGAGAAATAAGTCGCAATATCTGTACAATAATTTATCGAAATTGATTCAGGTTCAATACAGTCTTTTGTTAACTAAAAATTCGCGGGTTACTCACGTGAATATACTGATAAAAGCTCTACTAGTTTCGAACCACAGAGGGGTTCTTCCTCATGAGTAGCGTGCGCGGTCGCGGCGATGTCGCGAAGCCTAAACTAGTAGAGATTTTCTCAGTATATTCACGTGAGTAACCCGCGATTTTGTAGTTAGTATGTCTCACGATAGTTATTATAAATACAGTCTTTTGTTTCTTACGTTAAGAAACTACGCCAAACTCACTCCAAGCCAACTATAAGTGTCTGTAATCTTACTAATTATGAATACGAAGGTTTCTGAGTTTATGTATGTTTGTAACTCAATCACGTCACGTCAAAACGGCTGAAGAGATCGGGATGAAAGGAACTAGGGTAGATTAGAATCTGGAATCTACATAAGCTACGTTTCTTCCCACGGGAACGCGGGCAGAAGCTTACTAGCTTAATATTTCTGGAGTATCAAGTAGATACCAGTTGCAACTTACCCTCCCATACAGTCCCATGAGTTCCACAGTGTTCGGCAGTGATATGTCTTTTAGGAACTCGTACAGCACCACGCAGAGCGACGTGAAGTGATCCATCCTCTTCGTGTCCGCTTTCAAGTCTGAATAATCTGTAAAGGTGGTAAAAAAAGTTCATTTTATACTTAATCTCACTGAACAATGTACATGTGCCACGGTTAAAGATGTTGATACCACCAAGAAGTACTGTACCATCTTTTATTATGGAATCGGAGGCAAACGAGAGAGGATTACCTGATGGTAAGCGATCAGCGCCGCCCATGAACACCCGCAACACTAGTATTGTAAACATCAATTGTTGAATGTATTATTATTACCTACACATGTTTTGGCAAATAAAATTATCTTTATTTATCTCAACAGATTTTTTTTTTCTAAAAAACGTTGCCCCACAAATGGATTTTTTCCTGTATCCTGGGTGCGTTTACAAACATACAAATTCGCATACACATGACACCCAGACCCGGAACAAAATTTTGTGGATCACATAAAGTGTTGTTCCGTGCGGGAATCGAACCCGCGACACGTTGCACGGCAGCCGGTTGCCCAGCCACCGCACCAACCGTGCAGTCTACAATGGAAGACTTCTGTGGGTGCCCTCTGCATCATCTAGGACAGGGGTGGCCAACTTGATTAGACCTAAGATCGACTGTTTACTAACGAAATCCTGTGCGATCTACCAAGTACATACTTCTTGAAATTAAACTGCATAGTTTAGTACATAATCATGTATTTTTTATTGACCAGTCTTAGTGGTTTCTTTTCATATCACATGTGAGATCGTTTTCTTAAATTTACTTAACATTATATGGGTCCTATATATTAGTGTGAGCATTGCGCCTGAGCATTTTCCACTAGTTTAGCATAATCTAGTTTGTAGATAGTAGTTGATAATTGTTAAAACGTTGCGCAGTCTGGTCTATTTATTTATATATTTTGTCTGGCCACGATCGACTAGACTAACAGTCGCGATCGACCGGTTGGCCACCCCTGATCTAGGAGATGTAGGATATCAAATCAAGAAAGCTTTTAAAGGATTTGGAGCTTTAATATATTTTGATTCAATTGAAGGTCTATTGAGACTTTACACTTGACAGTGGTGTTATGTGAAGAGCTGAGGATCGAGCTCAGTAGTGTCAAACTGGGGACAGGGGAGGCCAATGACCCGTGGACGGAAATGGGTTGGTGATGATAATCTAAACAATCAATATATATTTAACAAAATCTTTATATAACTCAACAAATGAATGCACAGAACATCCATTTCACAACATCAACAGCCTATAAGTGGCCACTGTTGACCAAAGGCGTCTTCTCACACGGAGAAGGTTTGAGCATTAATCACCACTATTACTTGGTTGATTTCAAACAAAAATTAGAAATTATAAGCCCAGGTTTGTTCACAAAACTCATTTACTGCCTAAAATAGATCCACATCCGCATAGAAACAATCAAGACATTAATACCACAAATATATCATAATCATAATAAATATACTATCTGTATGTTTGTTTGTTACTCCGTCCAATGACGCAGAACCAGGTGAACGCAATAATATATCCGTCTTGGCGCAGGTTTCAGAAACTAAATCATTTGTACCTACTTCAAAATGATAAATTGTTTAACAACAAGAGCGTGATTTCAATCGTCATTGAAATCGAAGCTTGAAATAGGGAAATCATAACATAACATAACATCACGCCTTTTATCCCCGAAGGGGTAGGCAGTGGTGTACATTACGGCCCTTACTGCCACTGTACAATGTAACACCCACTTTTCACTATTTATGTTATAAGTCCCATGTAATAGGGAGTGAGCCTATTGCCATTTACCGGGCTCAAGTCCAGGCTCCGTGCTACTACTGAGATTTTTTGAAAAAACCCAGTGGTACTTTGCCCGACCCGGGAATCGAACCAGAGACCCCTTACCCGGCAGTCGCACTTGCGACCACTCGGCCAACGAGGCAGTAGGGAAATCATGCTTGGAAATTGGAATTAGAGGGCATGAGGCATACGAGATTAAAAAGTAGGATATATCACAATAGCCTGGGTACCCTATAGGAGCTAACTGCAGCTAGCAAATTTCCTTTTACGTATTTAGAATTCCTGTTTTTGCGCAATTTAAATTTCCCAGCTGCTCATACAGATGAAAAATTTTGTTTACACTTTCGGAGAATACCATGACATAATGTAAGCTTATAAAAACCTCAGGAAGTAGTAAGAAGAAACTCACGTGACATCAAATCCTTCCACATCCTGAAGGAAGTCCCGGAGTAGAAGGAGCGGAATGAATGGCCGTCACCTCGATACAGCCGGTTGATGATCTTAGCCAGCATGCGAGCTCCGTCCGGCAGGACTTTAGGAGCCACGCGCTTGAAGTTTGCGCATTCCCACTGAAAATTAAATTAGTACTCAGACTATCTCATTGTTTCTTTGACTTTGACAAGATGGTACTCGATTACAGAGGCCTTAGTACGAGTTTGTTTTACGTATAAAGTAATCGAACCGAATACGCGTTCGGCGCTGTGATTGGCGGGCTTCAAATAACCAACCAATCAGAGCACCAAAAGCGGTCCCGTTTTGATTACTTTTAACGTAAGACAAACTCGTACTAAGGCCTCAGATTAAGCTATCTTGATTTCGGTTTTTAATCAAGGAAAAGCTACCGTATTTTATAAAGACCAAATTAGTTGTTGAGTGTTATAAGTTAAAAAGTTAAGTAGTTGGGACGACGTGCTTCATCGTAGACCGCACCATCGCTTACCACCAAACGAGATAGTTGTCAAACGTCGGTCCATCAAATATAAACCATTTTGCACTTTTAAAAATTTTATTAATATGCAGAGAAGTATGTATTAGCAACAATAAGAAGTTGAAAAAAATACACGATTTGTTCGTTTCAACGGAGATAGGCAATTCTTTAATGCAAAACAATGGTACAAAAATAGCATGTACCGAAACTAATATTAATTCAAAACCATTAAGATTGATGTACATAAAACACATCAACAACACGGAGGAAATGAATCAATTCATTCAACGCGATGTTTTATACTTTTGAATTACGATCTGTTTGTTTTTAGAAATAACATTAGTGCGGCTCAAAATAAATCGTATGCTGATTTAAAAGCTTCATCTTTTATTTAAAATTAGGATTAGATATAAGTAGGATTCTATCGTCGCTGCATCAAGTTCTACATTTTTTTATGGGATAAGGCGATAAACGAGCAGACGGATCACCTGATGGTAAGCAATCGGCGTTGCCCATGGACACCAGGAACGCCAGAGCCGTTACAGGTGTGTTACCGGCTTTTTGGGATTAGGAATTTGAGGATTTTTGGGGATTCAGGGATTGGGAAAATAATATTGGGCCACCGGTAACCTCACTCACAAAGCGTTGTTTCACGTCGCTCGGTGTATTGTGAGGCCGTAGTATCACTCCGGTCGAGCCAGCCCATTCGTGCCGAAGCATGGCTCTCCCACACTTTTGTTCAACTTGGCGATGGCAATCTCGATTCCCCAAATACGATGCGACTTTTTGTTGAATCATTTAAATACGCCTAAAATCGTAATATCATATTTATTCGTCACTTCGCCAGGAACTTAATCAAGTTTAGTACACCAGGCACGAATTGAGCCGCCAATATTTTATCTTTATAAATGCTCTTATTCCGCTAATATATTGCACAAGTAAGCGGGTAACGACTTTAGAATATAAATAGAGCTTTTAAGAGTCGAAATAAAAAGAGAATGTAATGGCTCGGTAGCGGTAAAATGGCAGCCAGCCATGAAATGTCTGGATCGTATCACAGACCAGATTGAATGGGACCTTTGACACGGAAACGTTGGCCGTAAAATCCTATCTAAATTTCAATTCAGAGATCGACTCGTGTAATAACTATACGTTGGTGGATTGGATAGACATGAGAAGAATGAGACTAGGTACTTTTATAGCAGCATAGTATATCTGTGACTGTGACTGAATTTCGAGAATTTGAGCAAAAATTGCTTTACTTCAGGCTACAGTTTGCAGGAGCGAACAGTACACAGAAAAGGTGTATCTACGAATAGACATGGTGAGAAGTCCACGTTCCCATGGTAACGACCCCTTCTAAATCATGCATAACCGCAATTAGCGGCTCGCTGTCGCCTGTCCCACTTGGCAATACCAACATAGTACGTGACTTGGGCCAAATATACCAGAAACAAGATTAATTTCTAACAGATTATTTCAGTAACATCTGCGAATACCTATACTAATCATACATTAAAAAAAAACAAGTGTTACACAACGCCCTCTTACGTCAATCGTCATTTTGCCCGTTTGACGTGTGCCGGGCGGTTATTCCGGATATCTCTGAGTTGTTTGTATCATGTCGACATTTATCGGACATTTAGTTCGAGAAAATAAAATACGAAACATTACGCAGGGATGCCAAGTTGAAGATTCTGGATTACGTGTGAACCATGTCATAATGTTTGTTAATGTACGGTGTAACGAGGCGCGCTGCATAAATATTTATTCAACGGATTTTCGTTTTTATAAATAAATACGTTTGCCGTTTGATGATAAAGTTGTAACATTTGGCTGTCACGGTCGGATCTCTTTTCGTATCATTTATTTTAGAACTTAATTTCTTTTCACGCCCACGATTTATGCGTTTTCCCGCGCTATCGTTGCGGAATAGATAGATCAAAGTCTGTCTACTAGTATAGAACTGTCGACACATTTAACAGCTATTCATTAAATTTGATTGGCCATAACTTTTCACTTAGTCATCAATACATACATAGTATAAAACAAAGTCGCTTTCGCTGTATGTCCGTATGTATGCTTAGATCTTAAAAAAAATACGCAACGGATTTTGATGCGGTTTTTTTTAATAGATAGAGTGATTCTTAAGGAAGGTTTGTATGTATAATACATGCATATTGCACCCGTGCGAAGCCGGGGCGGGTCGCTAGTAACATATATAATTAAAGCAAGTCTCTTAATTAGTTACAACTAATATGGTAGAGTAACCGACAGCGCGATTGCAGGTTGGATTTTTTGGTTAGACAAAATATTTTAGTTGATATAGTTTTCAAAAAAATACAATCAGTAGGTACCTAGTAGCAATCTAGAACAGTGTAAAGTAGATGTTTCTCTCTGTTTGCACTTCTGCAAACTCCTATAGGTAGTAGGGCAGCATGAAGACACCTAAACCTCCTTTTATAAGAGAAAGTAAGTCACAGATACATACCTTGTGATCACCCCACGCATCTCTCTGGCATGCTCGCCCGCAGTAGTAGACAAACTGGCATCCTGAACATTTCAGCACTTTGCCCCTGAAATGTAACGACACGGTCATCATGTCACAATACAATACGGCTGATGCATGTTTAAAAATATAAGTGCGCCACCTGTACACTGATTTGTTTTCAATGTCAATTCAATCAATGTGCCGGTAAAAATAATTATAAAGATAAATATAGTATTCTTCTGTGTGAGTAGAGGTATTTGTCCAGATAGGACAATTATAGGCTGATGATGATGACAAATACTAAGTTTTTCTAGTTGTAAATTAGGCAGTATTAATTAGAATTTTTTGGATTTCTCAAAATATCTCCTTTCGGAGTTGCTAAAATAAATTAAAAATGTACACTATCTATCTAAGGGACAAATAAAATGATTAACCTAACTATTTTTGGTTGCCATCAAACCACTATAGTATGCCTACTCTCTTATTTTTCAGGAGAAACATGTTTATAGTTCTTCAACTTTACAACATGTGAGAACTGGATGATAATAAATAAAGAAATAATTTTGAATAGATAAGATTGATTTTGTGTAACCATCAAATAAATCAATACAAATACCACTTCCATTAATGATACTATAACAAATGTTGGAATTTGTAAAAAAGATTAGGAAACATTCTTCATAATAGGTATTTCATAATCTTTAAAAGGTAACTTATAAGAACTTGACTTTTTAGTGTGAATTTAAAAATTCATGAAAATAAAAGATTTCATTTGAATGATGGCATAAAACGATCAATAAGTTTTGTACAACTTATTTATTTAAGTTTAGAAGTCTATTGTAAAAAGAAAACAATTAAATATTCACCAAGATCATGATCACAGAAGTTTACTCAAATGTTGAAAATGTTCTTAAATATTTTCCAAGTTGAAGTCAAGTGTACTTTACTTACTTTTCCAGGCAATTATCGCACCGGCTCCCTTGCTCTTTGGACGATAAAACAAAAGCAAAGGGTTGCTCTGTCAAGATCAAATCCCCGGCTTTGATGGAAGAATCCGTGTTTCTATACCTATTCCTCATATTTTTAATTTATGCTAAGTTACACCTAAGAACTAAACCGTACGTATCCGAATGAGAATGTATTAGGAATGTCAACGTTCTGTGTTCGACGAGTTACGAGGCGAGGTGTTCTTGCGTATGCCGAAAATATGATTTGGCCCCGCTACCTGCCGGTCCAAATTTAACACTACTCAATACCGGTTACATTATTTTTAGTGAAGACGCGACCACAGCCGGCATATTAAAACGAAAAACAAACAAAAAGCGGCACTATTATTAGATCAGCATTTCGTCATGAAGAATAAAATGAGGAAAGGAAAGCAAGCATCAGCTAGCGAAGTGCAGAAGCAGAATAATAACACAAAGCGTTCCACGAGCCTTTGTTTACTTTTTTCTGACAACAGGATAGGAACATTCCCATTACTATGTGACAAAAAGAGAAAGAGGATAACTTGAAATAAAATTTAGTTCGTGTAACAGAGTGATTTATGACGCACGTTGACATTTGTCACCGTGACTACTAATATTCTAGTTCAACGAAATGATGGATTTTTTGACATTTGATATTTTTGGAATAGAAACATGAATTGTGTATCCATGTACTTATAACGTGAAATATAGTAACTCTATTTTATTTTATCTTGGGTTAGCAACGAAATTAAATAATTACTCAGAAAGTCAGGAAAATTGTGCCCAAAAGACTAGAACCTATAATTTTATAAATATTAAAATGTCATAATGACATTGACAGTGACATAAAAACCACGGCGACTACGGTGAGACGAGAAAAATAAAAACAAGGCAACGTGTTGCTATTCTGTGCTAATAAAATAGTGATTTGCAATAAAATCAAAGAAAAATGTCATTAATAATGACTAAAGCTGCACTTGCAATGAAGAATCCGGAGGTTAACTTTAAAGTAGTAAAGTTTGAAGCTCACAAGCCTAAAAAGAAAAAGGTTGCTGATAATAGTGATAATAATGAAATAAGACCTGGAAGCCAGCAGTCTAGCAAAGATTTAGATCTAAAGAAGATTCGCCATGAAGTTGTTAAGTTTGGAATGTCAGGGTTTGACCCTACGAAGAAAGAAGAAGCCAGGATAGCACTTGCAGTTAGTCTAGGTTAGTTCTCATTATTACACAAGTTTTCAGGTAATATTAACGTTTTAAAGCCACCTTTTAATGGCCATATTATCTCTGTTCCTTATGTCTGTCTCTCATCACTAATACATATAGAAACCTCATTAGTTATTACTTAGAATTTAAGAAGTAATTACCTAACTAAAGATACACAAATATCTATCTATTATGAGGTTTAGAAACAAATAGTCTTAAATTACACAACTATTATAGGAGCCATAATGTTCTGTTCAGCAAAAATCATAATAAACCATTTTATTTATATTTTATGTATTTTATTTCAGGTGCCAAACCTCCTAAAAAGGAGTATGTAAACTATAAAGAGCTTATGGAAAAGAGGAAACAAGAGAAGAAAAAAGAGTTAGAAGATAAACAGCAGATGAGATCTAAAAGTATATTACAGACTGGAGGCAAGAAGAAAAAGAAAGGAAACAATGATGTCGGACATTTACTTAGCAGTTATGGAAAGGTAATCAATAAAAACAAATCATTTTCTTTATCATAGGGCGGCATACAAGTAATTGGATCGTGTGACGGTAAGCAATTGGCACCCACAACACTAGAGATGCTACAAGTTGGTTCCTGGGGTTTTGGGAATTTGGAGACTGCAGACAAATACTGCTACTGCTATACCTTTGTCTACCTAATCTTTATCAACATGTTAAATCCTGTTAAATGTCATCGGTGACTTACAGTTAGCGGAGGTTTTGCCATCAATAATTTTCAATTGGCCATCAAAAGCTTAATCTTATTTGTTATTACAGAATCTTGTATAGATGGCCAAACAATACTTATTTTCAGTTACTGAATCAGTGAAGTAAATAATTTAATGAGAGGCCTATATATCGCAGTGGACATAATATAGAAAAGATAAAGTGTATTAGTATGAAAAAACTAGGTTTTGACAGTGGTTTCACCCATGTTCTCATGGGCTAAAAAGTGTCCTATGTATTATTCTAGAATCTAGACCATAACTTACCCCTGTTCCAATTTTTCCTCTCAGTCTCTAACCGTTTTGATGTGAAGGGGTAACATATAAACAACATAACATCACACCTTTTATCCCCAAAGGGGTAGGCCGAGGTGCACATTACGGCACTTAATGCCACTGTACAATGTAACACCCACTTTTCACCATTTATGTTATGAGTCCCATGTAATAGGGGGTCAGCCTATTGCCATATATCGAGCACATTTCCAGACTAAGTGCTACTACTGAGGTTTTTACAAACCCAGTTATACTTTGCCCAACACACGACGGGAATCGAACCCGAGACCCCTTGCCGGCAGTCACACTTGCGACCACTTGGGAAATGGGGCAGTAACATACAAACTTTCACATTTATAATATTAGTAGGATAAGTTTATAGTTCTACATCAGCAAGATATACTCCTTTGCAGAATCCATGCGATGAACTAAATAGCAGCCTCATAATGATGATAGTATTTGGAGCTTTATTCACTATTGTGACTGGCTACTGGTCTATGTCTATACTCTATGACTGTTTCATGTGAAGTGAATAACAATGTTTTTTTATTTAATTAATTGTAGTTAAAAAGTAAAGATAATGTAACTGTGATTATTCAGACACCACTGACAAATGGTGAAGGAAAACATCGTGAGGAAACCTTGACTTAAAAGTCTAACAAGCCGTATTGAGCAAATGTGCTGATTAATTTTCAAACCTTCTCTGTATGAAAAGTGGCCTTTGGTCAGCAGTGGCAACTTATCGGCTGTTGATGTGTGTTGTGATTGACAAATTGCATATTTTTATTATATACTACTAGATTATACTTTACTTGAACCTAGTGCATTTGTAGAGATGTAGATATAGTTCTGTTTTAGCTGGTAAAAATACTTATTTTTTGCTGTATTTCAGGTAAAGAAGAATGACTTGAAGAAAGATGATAAAGGACCAAAAAAGAAGAAAAAGAGTAAAATTATTTGAATAATAAATTATTGTAAATACGAAATGATTTTTGTTACATTATAACTCCTGTCATGAATAAAATATCAACAAAACGCATAATAGCAGTAACGCTGCGATACACTTTCATAAGGCGCATTATGTTGTCCTAAATTATATTTTTATAAGCAGAAAAAAATATGTACCCAGACATAATTTGTAATAAACAATTACTTCAATCCGATATCAGTAATGTATGGTGTCAGTAACAGCGTCGCAGATCACGGAATGCTGTTACTAAATACATAGCCTCCAGCATGGCTTGAAACTTGTCGAGTTCGTAGGCAAATAATTACGTGAGTAAGTCGAAAAACATGATTATTAATTAAGTGTATGTCTCACGAAAGTAATAAATAATGTATGAATACAAAGAAACAAAAATGGTCTATTTATTTATTTAAATAGGTATAGGTACCAACAGCTTCTGTATACATAGTATAAAGAAATAACAAAGGTAACAATATGTGGATGTCTAAGCACACATAATTAATTACCTAATTAAATTGTTTGTAAAATTAATTATAAACATTCAAACAATTTGTTTGTAACATTTGTCTCTAATGGCTAGCAATAATAAAGACAGGTAATTACCTATATTCATAACAATATTCAACACACACACAAACATTATCTTCTCCTGTTGAAAGTCGTCGCGGAGAACCTAACGGGTTACCGGGACTCCGCATCGAAGCGCAGGAGTAGGAACGGGGTGGTTTTTAGTCAGTAAGAGTCTGGCACTCCCTCCCGTCTCACCCAGGCGGGAGAAGTCATTTGAGATTCGATGATGTTCCCCCCTTAAAAAAAATCGTGTTGAAATATCGTAGATACCCTAAATTTGTTCATAGGTATGTACCTAGATATAGACCTCCATTATACTTATGTAAGTAGTCTCTAAACATTGGAAATAAGGTCTATAATGGAGTTACTGTTATACATATACTCTTATATATAAAGCTGCAGAGTCTGTTTGATTGAACGCGTTAATCTCAGGAAGTCCCCCAGCGTCTGCTTTTATAAACCCAACTTCGATTTTTATTAGAAACGTAAATAATTTTACACGCAAAGTACCTATACCCCAAAAAAGTTGACTTGCTATAAGTGACGTCACTAAACGCTGATGCTGATGGTGTTTTTGAAATGCGTATCGTTTTACGTAGGTAATAACTTTAATTCGTAATTATTCTTAAAAAATCAACATAATATAAAATAAAAACGTTGAAATTATTTTACATTTTTTTTACCATTTAGACCATATAATTTTTATAAATAAATATCATATTTGCATTTTCCCTATTGGTGGTATTACTTCGTGGTCGATATCCGATATAAAATTATCGCCAGTGAAATAAATAATAAATATTTCTGGGTAAATATTATAAAGAGCTCACTGGTACCTACTAAATGGCAAAATAACATAACATTATTTATTTATTTATTTATTTAAAGCTTCATGCACAAAATGTACACAAGGTGGACTTAATGCCGCAGGCATTCTCTCCCAGTCTGACCTTTGGGTGATGCAGAGAAGAGTTAAGGGTGTGAGCAAGAAGCAAGCAATTATTTGATAGAGCAAATAAAATAGATACACTTACATATTTCAGAGATAAACATAAATACTTTAACATAATTATAATATATATACCTACACACGAGTACAACACAATACACATGAATGCATTCATACACATATTATACATATATACTTACATACATACATAAATACATACATACATACATACATACATACATAAATATAGACTATGAGTAATTAGCGTGATGATTCAGCCACCCTCTCCAAGAGAAGTTCACGCACTTTCTGCTTAAATGATAGACGAGTCGACACCATCCTGACATCCGGGGGGAGCGCATTCCACAGCAAAATTGCCTGTACGAAAAAGGAAGAATGAAAGAAGTCAGTGCGATGAGTGGGACATTGAAGAAGACGGTTATGAGAAGAACGAAGGTTTTTGCTGTGGTTTGCGCATAGATATTGAAAATAAGGGGAAAGATAACTGGGCAAAGAAGGTGAACAAAGAAAGGAGAATAGGGTGGTTAGCGCCCTTTGCTCCCTGCGCTGGCGTATGGGCAGCCACTTTAGTTGCATCCGATGTGCAGAAACATGATTACATTACGCCTTTTTAACTCCGAAGGGTTAGGCAGAGGTGCACATTACGGCGCTTATTGCGACTGTACAATGTACCACCCACTTTTCAATATTTATGTTATTAGTCCCATGAAATAGGGGGAAAGCCTATTGGCTATTGCCATATACCGTTTACAATTCTAGACTGTGCTACTACTGATTTTTTTTTAAAAACCGGTAATACTTTGCCCGACCCGGGAATCGAACCCGAGAGCCCTTGCCGGGCAGTCGCACTCTGTCAACGAGGCAGTCAATGGAAAAATAGGTAAGTAAAAAAGATTGTAGGTAGGTAGTTAGATACTTATATAATAATTAATTTGTTTACCTACTAGTTACTACGGCATTGTCGCGGCCAAAAGAAGCCAACTTAATGTAGGGTAGGTAATTAATTGATCACAAGTTTGAGCATCTCATTAGTAAAAATATTTTTCAAAAGAAATTATTAAGTACCTATTCTCAAATTAAAGTTAATGACACTAAATTAGTGTAATACTATAGTGGGAGTAGAAAGTGTTTCCTATAAAACAAAGATATTTTGATGAATATCAACATAGCACATTCATCTTGCCGTCGAGATTCGTCACATGTGTTCAAGACATTCCACAATGGACCTACACCTCCATTTATCAGTTGCATTCCGTGCCTTGGATCGTAAATGGGGCAAACCCGTAGATCTCGACTCTTCGGACGACCTCACCCCGTGTTTACCAGCTGTTGTAGACTTACCAACGACTACATTCTCTTCGGAAGAATTCTTGAGAGCCAGAAGAACACAGAAACCGTATTTAAGAGAAGAGGAACAGATACTAGAGAATGTAAATGATACGTTTGCGGATATATCTAGTTCTAGAATACCATCAGTGTCTAATGAATCCGGTGTAGAAGAATCTAGTGGTTGTACAGAAGAATCCAGTTGTTATACAGAAGAATCTATTACCTATAGAGCAGAATCCACTTGTTCAGTAACAGATTTTGATACAGACCTTATCAGAAGTGTTGAAGTACATTTCCAGCAATGTGAAGCAGATTGCACTGCCATTCTGGAACCTGGATTGGAAAGAAATACGTGGTGGGATGTGTTTAGTTTGCTCAAACAAAGAGCTAAGTTTTTTATTGCAAAGTGTAAGAAAAATAGTGAATGTTTTAGTCGAGGATAATATTGTGAAATTAATTGAGTGATTAAGTGTCAAAGTGAGATAGCATGGAACTATATAAGATTTGCAATGTAGTGTACCTACAAGTAACTATTTTATTTATTATCGCGCTACCATATGAGGGTACCATAATTATGTAAGAATGTAATTTAGGCTTATTTATGTAAAACAGCCTTCTTGGTTGAGTGTTTGCTAGCGCGGCTGCCGAGCTAGGTACATCGTTTCTTAATCAGATAAAAGCAATATGGGTTTTTTCGAAATTTTCAGTCCAGTTATAGGTTCACGTTCTATACCATGAGACTTATAACTGGTGGTAATAATGGGTGCCACATTTAATGTAAGTAGTGCATACCTACTTATACTACTATATACTCTGCCTATCCTATCCTGTGGAGAGTAAAAGACACGATGTTATGGTTGAAATTATTTATAATTTAAATAAATAAATGGCGTAAAATATCTATCTTTTCTTCTTCTATCATACTATCTTCGTTACGATAAATCGCTTAATATTCCAGTCTTATGAACACTTGCTTTTACTTTACATATCTGGCCCCTTACATATTTTAGTATCACGATATTGTTATTATTTTTTTCTTTGGAGCAACATAACATTCCTAACCTTTTATTCTTCGAGGGTTTACATTATTCGGGATTCGAACCCGATATCAAATAGCTTGTCAGTCCCTTGCGACCACTCAACTATTGAAACATAATATTTTTGTATTATAATAAAACAACAAAATAAATGTTAAATATTTTATAATTGAAAAATAACTAGGTATTATAATAATGATAATATTTACAATAACATAAATACATTAGTACATCGTATTACGCCGGCAAGTTCATTTTTTACAATAAATAGTTTTAAGCATTTCATTAAAAATAAAATACAACGTAACTAACAATTAGTTTACACATAGGGCTCGAAATATTTTATAGCAGTCGTCATAGGTTTTTCGTTGATTTTGTTCGTTGTTAATGTATTCTTCACGCGCATCTTTATATCTCTAGGCTTCAACACATTCTTGTGGTTGGCACACGGAGGCCTCACACACACGTATTGCTTGCTAGGCGTGAATATAGACTTAGAACTAAGACCAGACGTCTCAAGGAAGAAGTCGAAAGTTCCCTTAGTTTTGGGCGCATTCAGCTCTGGGTTGTTATTCAAGACCATTCTAGGCTCCAGCTTGACAGTGTTGTAAGAGCCGCTGTTGCTCCCAGACGAATTACTAGACTCAATATCTGAGTTCCTTACAGATTCAGTCTCTAAATTCTCTATATTTGAAAGGAGATCAGGCTTATTAGACAACTTGGCGTTTTTAGACAAACCTTTGTTCAAGGCATTATCGTTATTATCAAGAAAATTTTCAGCTGTTTCATTGTCTTCCTTATTATTAGTATTATGCTGTTTATCTTTATCAGGTACATTGGTGAGATGCTCGGTTACAACATCGGACATGGAACCGTCGCTGCTACCGGAGCTGATGCGGTATTCTTCTGCAACGATGCTACCGAGTTCATCGTCAATTTTAAATTCCTCAAAGTTCTGTGACAAATCGAATTTGTCAATGTCATCAAAGTATTCGGCTTTGTGCATTTCTGCGTTGTTGCATTGATTCTTCTCGGGTCCATGATTGAACTGATTGTCTAGTTCTGTCAGATTAATCTGCTTATTACCACCCTTGCCACCTTTGTTAATTTCAG